GGATTTGCAAGTTGAGGATTTGCACATTTGCAAGTTAAGGACTTGGAGATTTGTAAGTTGAAAATTTGAGGATCTGGATGTTTTGAAGTTGCGTGATTTATGGATGTGGACATTTTGAAGATGTGCAAGCTTAGGATGTGGAAATGTGATTTCTAGATCTGTACACATGGACTTTGGGATTTGATCTGGACAGGAACTTTGATGATTTATTATTTCACTACAAATTTCTCAGTTTCACTCCAAACAGTAACACACTCCACAAAAATTCTCACACATGACTCCATAACAATTTGTAGTCATAGGTAGACACCGGTCTACCTATGAACTGTCTTCAACCAAAGTATATGTACCTTAAATTCATATCAAGATCGCCCAGTACAAAAGATATTACCCTAAGTGCCATCATCACCAGGGTTGTCCTTCTAGATTTTAATCTTGCAAGAGTCAGCAGGTTCCTAGGATCAAGGGAGAGTTACTATGTAAGATCAGATTCATGATCCATCGATTTGGTATTCTCTTTCTGCACCAACTTGTTTCTTAAAGATAGTACGCTATAAAATCTCCCTTTTCGTATGCTTTATCTTTAGTACCGAAAATGTATGTGTCAGTTGAAATAGTTTGAAGTCCAGAGCTAAAGATTATTAAATTCCTAAAAATTTTGTTGAAGGACCCCCGAACGTTTCAATAATTTGCGACGCAGAATTTCTTGAAAAATCTCTTTATAGAAATCTGTCCAACAAAACGATACACAAATCCCATATCCCCTACTTGAGTCATCCATCTTGAGAGACCATAACCGTCTCAGGCGGTGTCTTATCAAGAAGGTTATCTCGTGTCAATATTATCACAGAAGCTTCGATACTCCTCGAAGCCGAAATATTTCGCGAAAAGTAGTTTCGTGCCAGACGTATAGAGTTTCAATCCATCATCGTGTCAAGGATTTTGCGACCAGTTGAAATTTTCATGAGATCCATTTTAACGGGCGTTGTTATTCTTCTCTGTTTCGTAAAAAGCATTCTCCAGCGTTTCGTATTTGTAGTTACAGAAACCGTATACAGGTTCTCGGTAGCCGAGTTAACTGGAAAGAAAACGTAATACGAGGTTAAGGAGGCCATAGTTGGCCACGAGATTAGCCAAGTTCTCCCTTTAGAATCTGTGAACCAAGGTTGGTCCACAAAGTGTCCCAGTTAGCCGGTCGTCGAGCAAATTGTCAAGAGAACCGAGCGTGTGCCAACTGTTTGCCCTGCAATTAATGCGAGTCGCACGAATCCTCGAGCAAATAGGAGGAAAAGCAAAGCCCTTCGACCATGGGGAAACTCGTGGGATCGCCTTGCAGCTCGGTCGTGAAATTGGTTTGTCAACCGGACGGACCCTTCGCTTGCCATCTCGAATACTGGATTTACAATCGTCCTTCGACACATTCGTCTTGAACAAATAATAAGACGGCTAACGTTTATTGGAACAGTGGCAAACGTTGCTGAAATTGTTGAGCGACGAAATACTGCGCGTGGGATGCTGTCTGAGACATTTGACGCGGGAGATATTTGACGCGAGAGACATTTGACGCTTTAGATATATGACGCGAGAAATATTTGATTTGTGAGATATTTTATGCGTTAGATATTTGATGTGTGCAGTATTTGACGCGTGAGATATTTGACGCTCGCGACATTTGACGCTTGCGACATTTGACGCGTTAGATATGTGACGAGAGATATTTGACGTGTAAGATATTTTATGCATGAGATATTCGACGTGCGCAGTATTTGACGCTCGCGACATTTGACGCTTGCGACATTTGACGCTTGCGACATTTAACGCGTTAGATATGTGACGAGAGATATTTGACGTGTGAGATATTTTATGCGTGAGATATTCGACGTGTGCAGTATTTGACGCGTGAGATATTTGACGCTCGCGACATTTGACGCTTGAGACATTTGACGCTTGCAACATTTGACGCGTTAGATATGTGACGAGAGATATTTGACGTGTGATATATTTTATCCGCGAGATATTTGATGTGTGCAGTATTTGACGTGTAAGATATTTGACGCTTGCGACATTTGACGCTTACGACATTTGATGCTTGCGACATTTGACGCGTTAGATATGTGACGAGAGATATTTGGCATGTGAGATATTTTATGCGTTAGATATTGAATGTGTGCAGTATTTGACGCGTGAGATATTTGACGCTCCCGACATTTGACGCTTGAGACATTTGTCGCTTGCGACATTTGACGCGTTAGATATGTGACGAGAGATATTTGATGTGTGCAGTATTTGACGTGTAAGATATTTGACGCTGTCGACATTTGATGCTTGCTACATTTGACGTTTGCTACATTTGACGCTTGCTACATTTGACGCTTGCTACATTTGACGCTTGCGACATTTGACGCTTGCGGTATTTGGCTTTTGCGATATTTAACGCTTGCAATATTTAACGCTTGGGGCATTTGACGCTTGCAACATTTGACGCATGTAGCATTCTACTCGTGTGATATTTGTCGACTAGAACACTTCATACATGAAATATCCAACATAGATACGACACATAAAATATAATAAGCATGACACACGGTATGTCGACTTACAACCCATCAAATTTCAAAGTGAAATATAACGAATTGATGTTGAACACGATACAACGAATTAAAATTGAGCATGCATGATCCTACAACGTGCAACAATAAGATAACAAAAACGCACAGCGATAAAAGTTAATACACATCCCATGGTGATATACATAGTGGCAATATCAAGGGAAGTACAGCCCCAATTTTTTATGACATCACAAACAAAAGAAACATCAATTAATATACGAACAGAAAGCAATTCTTCCGCTGGTGAAAGCAAATGAACGAACAGCGACGAAGAAATTTCCCCCGGAAATGGACGGAACTGACAGCGAACCGGCTAGGCTTCGATAACAAAAACAATTCCCTCGAAGCTCTCGAAGCAATCGATTTCCCTGGATTCAACAAAGTACCTTCGACAAAAGAAGGCACAAAGAGGAGGAGGAAATTCCGCAAAATCTGAAGAAAAGGCCAGCTGAATTTCATATATTCCGCGGATAGGGCTGGTTTCATCCCCGACTAACATCCGGTCCACCGAACCAACAGACTACCGGACCTCCTGTATTATTTACTTTCCACGAACCTATGGATTATGGACTTCTTGCTCGCCCTTACTCTTTTCAGTGAAAACTACCACATTCCCTTCTCGTGTTCCATCTTGTCCTCAAATCTGGGCTCTGCACTCTGTCGATCGGAGTGTGTGGAATTTTTGGAAGATCGATAGGGTGGAACTATTGAATTCTTGAGAGGAATTTCTGATTTACGTGGTTGATAGATTTTAGTACGGTTTGTGGATATCTGAGTTGATCTGATTCGTATTTAAGATTGAGGATAGTAGTTTATGGGGAAGTTGAGCGAATGTATTTTCATGGGTTAACCGTGAGAGATATGATTTTTTGTCAGAGAAGTAAACTTTTTTAAAATGAGTCAAAATCTCTAGGAAAATTGTCAAAAGTGTCGTAAGATGGCTAGTAGGAGCTTGAGTGACGGGGTGTCCTCAGTAAGTGAAAGCGGGTCATATTATAAAATCCTTGCCCTACCACGCACAGGCCTAACCGTGCTAGATACGACTTTTTGTCAGAGGATCAAACTTTTTTAGAATGTGCAAAAACCCCTAGAAAAATTGTCAGAAGTCCCTAAGGTGGCTAGTGGGCGGCTAGAGAGTGGTGAGTCCCGAGCGGACGAAAGCGTTACAATGCTATAAAACCCCTGCCCTAGTACCCACAGGCCAAACCGTGATAGATACGACTTTCTGTCAAAGGACCAAACTTTCTTAGAATGTGCCAAAACCCCTAGGAAAATTGTCAAAATTGTCTAAAAATGGCTGACAGGCGCTGGGGACCCTCAGTGAAAGAAGGCGAGTCGACATACTATAAAACCCCTGTCCTACCACTCACAGGCCAAACCGTGCTAGATACGACTTTTTGTCAGAGGACCAAACTTTCTTAAAATATGCCAAAACCCCTAAGAAAATTGTCAAAAGTGCCAAAAGATGGCTGACAAGGGTACAGGGATGAAGGGTCTCCCGATAACAGAAGCGTACTCCCAAAAACATCAGAAAACAATGTATCTAAAATATCTATTAAAGTATGAAGGGAAAATCAATTCAGTAGCATAATTTAAACACAGAAGAGCAACCATCCAAATACCATTGAAAATCCTTCCATAAATATTCCTCAAAGCAAGCTGCATGCTTCTTCCTTTCCGTCAAGTCTTTCTTACGTAAACCCGACAGGATCCTGAAGCATGATCCTGCGGGACTCTTTGATCTGCCATTCTGTCTCTTCAGCGGATGACATGGACCACCAGGCCACCCTCTCTCCACCCCCGTCGAGGTTATGAATTACCTTCAAGCCGTATTTTCTTCGTTGAAAGGTCGAGAATCCGTTTCAGTACCGAGCAAAATACCTTGCCGTTAAATTGTGTCTATAAATTGAGTGGAAGCTTTGCGAACAAGAGTTCTTTTTTACCGGAGGATTCGCTAAGGGGTTGAAATCGGCACGGCAAGACTACTCTCTCTCTCTCTCTCTCTGTTTATCGCCGTTTCCTTTGAGGGATAAGACCCGGGAACGGAGAATTAGAGTTGGGATTCGCGTGATCCTGTTATCGTAGTTCTCGTGGAATCGCGAGTTAAATGTGTTTACGGAGTTGGAAGGATTTTAATAATCCACCCTGGGATGTGCAACGCTGTTCTGGGGCTATGGGGATCCGTTTAACGTGGATCTCCGTTATCTGCCTATCATTTCACCTAAATATCTTCTGTTCAATTTTCTATTTGCTCTTTTAGGGTATTCTAGTTTCAAATAGCAGTATTAACGGATACGCTTCCAGTAAATGATGCCAAAATGTCTGTGTAGATGTATATAAAGGTCGTCTGCCAAATCACGTTCTAATATAACCTGTTTTCGTTTCTTGCAGAGGGGTAGCGACGAACTTTTGTCGCAAAGCGGAGCAGTTAGCAATGGTGCTGCAATGAGTCCACAACCACATCACGCGGCCGACAACAATAATGACGCCAAGAAGGTAAGTACTCTCAGCCATCAAATTCTGACGAGTTAAAAAATTTGTCACAAGTGTTTATGTACTTTTTTCTTAATTGGCAACCTATAACGATATGGTCGATCGAGCACACCTGTTGTGCCGACAATTTCCGAATAATTAATTATCCTCCACTCCGTGGCAGTAAAATGCAAGTTTTTATCCTTGACATTCAATTAAAATCCCGTGAAAATAAATGTAATAAACTTAAAAAAGTAGTAAAAGCTGACCACACGTTCACGAACAATATTCGACGTTAAATTCCGGCGTTCAACAAATATTTGGCTCAAAAACAGTTAACAATTTCGATTCGCTGTAGCCAGCGGACGCGAGAACAAATGCTTTTCACTCAGCCGGGCAAAAACTATCGGGGCAGAATTTTGCAACGTGGACCGGCAGGAAATATTTATTATTGTCAGTGACGCGTGACGTTGCTGCTGGCCTCGTATGCTGGAACGATGATGGAAAAAATGTCGGAAGTTTAGGCGAACGATAGATGCAGCCGTGTGTTCGTAAGCCACGAATGATGCACGTCTCTAACAGCGGCTGCACGTGCACCAGGTTGCATCGAAACTTGCATCCACGGTCTCGTTAATCATTTTCTCTACGTGATGGGGAGGAGAAAAACAGTAAAGTCCTGCGACATACAACGTTCGATTCTTGTCTTCCTTTTTCTTTTGTGTCGTCTTCTTGTAATATATCATACGGGGAGGAAGTTTTACTTTGGTCCTTAATATTTTTACATTACTTTTTATTTTTTAGTCGCGTTAATTTTATAGTTTTATTGCTGTTGTGAAGGATTTTTTTTATTTGATATTGTATGTAGTTACATTATTTATTGACATTATTTTTTGTCATTGTTATTAATTTCATTTTTTGACAATATTCTTAACATTATTATGTGACGTTATTAGTAACCTTATTTTTTGACATTATTATTAACATTATTATGTGAGATTATTATTAACATTGTTATATGGCACTATTATATGACAGTAGTATGTGACATTGTTATATGACATTGTTATATGACATTTTATATGACATTATTAAATGACATTATTATATGACAGTATTATGTGACATTGTTATATGACATTGTTATATGACATTATTGTATGACATTATTATATGACATTGTTATATGACATTATTAAATGACATTTTATATGACATTATTATATGACCATTATTTATGACATTATTGTATGACATTATTATATGACATTATTAAATGACATTTTATATGACATTATTATATGACCATTATTAAATGACATTTTATATGACATTATGATGTGACATTATTATATGACATTATTGTATGACATTTTTATATGACATTGTTATATGACATTATTATATGACATTATTAAATGACATTATCATATGACATTATTAAATGACATTTTATATGACATTATTGTATGACATTATTATATGACATTATTATATGACATTATTAAATTACATTTTTATATGACATTGTTATATGACATTTTTATATGACATTGTTATATGACATTGTTATATGACATTGTTATATGACATTATTAAATGACATTATTAAATGACATTATTATACGACATTATTAAATGACATTTTATATGACATTATTATACGACATTATTATATGACATTATTATAAAAATAATTATTAACAATACTTTTATTACTCGTAATTAACAATAAAATAACAGTGTAACGTAACAGTGTAACACAAGAACTCGCACGATTGAATTAAAATTAGAAGCTCCGTGTAAAGTAGTTCACACGTGTCTCCGCGGTGCAACATTGCGTTAAAAAAAAAAACAGTACAGTGACGGATCGTTAATGCGGCCGCGGAAAGAAACAGAGACGAACAACGAGGGATTCGGTGACAAAGCTTCGCGTTCTCGGCTTTTACTTTGAAAACGAACACGCTCTACTTTTCGACGGTCTCAAAAAAAGGGCGAAATTGTTAGCGGCCTATGGAGCTTGAAACTGGAGGCGTCTCTGTGTAAATTTCGCAAAAATCGATAACGATATTTTCCTTAACTCTTTTATCTGGGAACCGTCGGGTAATTTTGTTTTGGGGAAAATTATGCAAAAGATCGACAATTTTTTGCAGTTGACTTGTGAACAATTTTCTTGGTTAAAAAATTAATAAACTGTCAACTTGTAAACATTTATAAAAAATTTTCTTGATTAACAGATTAATGAATAGTAGTCAACCTGTAAGCGCTTATAAACAATTTATAAACCTTAGCAAATTAAAGCTTAACAAATTTTTCAACCTACCTAACCTAACTAACCTAACCTATAAACAGTGACAATATCATACTAAATTATTTAAAATATATTCAAGGTTATTTCGAACCTCATTAATCAAATACTAGAAACAAAGATTTTTCTGATAAATGATTAAAACATCCCTAGTGTCCCCGGAGAAAGATCAAACGAACGAGAAGAAAGACGTAGAAGATAAAAAGAAAGAAGAAAAAAAATAATGTCCAGTAATTGAGTCTGCTCTAACACCTTTAACGAGACCTTAACGTTCTTCTTTCCGTAGACGTGTCAAGGGGGTGAAAGGAACGCACCCCCGCAGGAATAAGTGGCGCAACACCGTCACCATTCGTGGATAATGGGACGGAACGAAGCAGTAAATGGCACGTCAGAAAAAAACTGGGACAAAAGAGACTTTGTCCAACTAATACAGCCAAGTGTCGAACGACACTCACGATATTAGGCCAGGTTTTTACGTCCCTTCATCCACTAACTCAAACCCTTCTCTTTTACGAGTAATTTTTCTTGTACGATGTTACTCAAAATTATATTAAACTATGATGGAGATGTTTGTATTTTATTTATACTTTATTTTTATATTTGTTTACTTGTCAGATTTTTAAATGAATGTTCTTTCATTCCGCTCTTTGTGGATTAAGGCGTTAAGCTACTGGGTGCGTCAGGTGCGTCATGCAGAGGTACCTAATTATTAGCGCAGTGCTAAATAGAGAAGGTTGAAATATTAGGTGTATTTTTGATTTAGGTATCTTCAATCATACTAATTACTATTGGTGTCGAACCCATCGATTTTTATGCAAATATTTAATTAGGTTTGTCATATTTGAACTGTGAGGTGCGTCACGAGTGTGACTCCATTATGAGCCAAGAACGAATTATATTTCTTCTATACAAATCCTGTGTATCTTTAGCCTAAGTGTATTTGATAGTTAGTGACACCTTCGCAGTCAGTTGATGTCCAAAATTACAATTATAGGTTAGGTTAGTTTGGACTTAATCGCTCACTTACGAAGAGTCGATCACTTACTGAAAGTCGTACATCACAAAAGCCGTGTATTGATTAACCCAACTGGTTATAGTTATCAAGAACACCTTGTCAAATAACAAATATATTTTTGTTATTATAATTTTGTTATTATAAATATTTACTATTTATATTTTAGTTTTAAAGTGCACCTATTTATAGTTTAGGTTTAAACACGTCACTCACTTATCGCTCACTTACGAAGAGTCACTTACCAAAACTTACCGAAAGAGTCGTTTCACCTGTATCTAATAAGTGAAGATAAAATATGATCGAGAATATGAGTGAAAAGGTCTTTCCATAATAAATCACAGTAAAAAGCCATAAATGAAAAATTGCATAAAGTAGTATCTAATCCTGAATAGATAATAGAAGATCAGCGTTCGAATGCAATTTCCTCGCGGATAAAGGATCACAAAGGACGTCGTGATCCCACAATAATTATGTTGGAGATGGCAGGACGTAAGCAGATTACACGTAGCCGATAATTCAACGGGTTCGATTCAGCTTGATCAAAAGCCACGAATGGCTTCCGATTTCCGAAAGATCGCGCTGTCGGCTATCCTTCTTTTCATGGCTGCCGTCGTTCAGCCATTTTCTCGATTAAAGACGACGGAAACCCGTCGCGGGACACTCTGTTTCTTTCCCTCTCGTTTCCGCTCCCGATCGGCCAACCTAATTTCGAGATTGCTAAGAACGCCTTATCTCGAAGCTCGATTCTATCTTTCGTTCACGTCTGACGGAAGTGTATGTACTCTTGTTTCACGGCTCTATTTTCTGTTTTTAGATGTTTCGTGTCAGGGAAGTAATTAACCATTTGTTCATACTTTTTGTTTGTTTATATCCATCACTCAAAACTTTTTAAATTTTTTAACTTACCATTTGATTTAATAGCAATTTGAAATAATCATTTTTCATTTATTCTACATTACATGTTTCGTGTCACGAAGTAATTAACTATTTGTTCATACTTTTTGTTCGTTCATATCCATCGCTCACAATTTTTAAAATTTTTTAACTCAACATTTGATTTAATAGCAATTTGAAATAAGCATTTTTTAATTTATTCTACATTACATGTTTCGTGTCACGAAGTAATTAACCATTTGTTCATACTTTTTGTTCGTTCGCATCCATCACTCACAATTTGAAAAATATTTTAACTCAACATTTGATTTAATAGCAATTTGAAATAAGCATTCTTTAATTAATTCTACATTACATGTACTATGTGTACAGTGAAATAACAGTGCAAATTATTAATAAAGTAATAACCTTAAAAAAATGTATTTAACTTTTTAACTGCTAAGTTTTAGAATTGTTTGCAAACAGTTCGAGTGCAAAGGGTTGATCCAATATTTCTACATCTCTAAATTGATAAATTTAAAGGGAAGGTAAATACCTGTATTTTAAAAACAGGATGTTGACTTAGTTTATTACAGTTTCGTCGGATTTTGTTTTTGAAAACAAAAGCCTTCATCTCCGCCGAGAGCTCTCCCCGTCCGATTGTTTTTCCGGATGTCGGAATTTCATATTAGAAAATGCGCGAGAGAGACCAATCACCTATGGAGATTTCTGAAAGCTGACCGAAACTTCTGCTCGGCGTGTCTGACATATTTCATTCTGGAATGTTTCTCTGCGAATGCACCGGAACGTTTGCTACGATTTTCGGATGCC